ACAATGGCAAGTTTTCTCTGGCCAAGTCCTTATTACCTCTCTTGTTAATAACAAGATCTAGGCTACAGTTTTCATCTCTCTAGCATAGTGACTGGTTAGAATTTGTTTTCTTCTGCATTTGATTTGTAAAGCTAATATGTTTAGACGGTTGGGTTGCTATTGTGATTGTTTTGGCAGGATTGAAAGCAATGTACAGATTTATTTGTAATGTATGAAGTCCTTGACGTGCTGTACGGCACTTCAGAGACTCCACAATTTATTTTTTGTTGCGGCTTGTCTTTAGTCCTTGCCAGTTTCTTTCCTTTCCTTTTCCAAACAAAGCTAGGGCTGACAAATCCTAACGTTACAGAATTTTAATAGCTAGATCCAATTACTGAGCTCATTTTGTAATTTACCATAGTCCTTACAACTTTAGACCCAGAAAGGCTCTGCGAATGGGCTCAAGAAAGGTGACACTGTAGCCAACAGCTATACAAACCAAAATGTCCTCTGGCCTTAAAGGCTCCTGGAATCAGTGCTTTTGTCACCATTATCCATAACCATTTTCTGAAATACTGCTTTCAAAATGTTCTTTTAATGAAATCACATAGCTTTGTCTGATCCAGTAATAACATTTCCAGGGGCCGCAACAGTTTGCTTTGGCTAGTTTTTGTCAGAATTTTTATTGGTTTCCTTAAAGTAATTACAACGTTAATACAAAAAGAGCATTTTTCAAGAGAACATACAAGAGCGGGGATGAAAAGGAAGGGTGAGCTTTTCCTTTTCATTTAAATCCTCTTGACTGATTTGCAGGTTCTGCAGATCAGCTTGGGAAACAAAAGGAAACTTGGAATTAATATATACCATACATGTTTGCTGCATTAACAATGGAACAGAGCTCTGTAATATGCTGTGCTGTTTATGTCCAAGACTTCCACTCTTTTCAGTGAAGCCTTGTTGTAGCTACCTAAAGGCTTTCATTTATTTTCTGGCTCTTTTTTTTTTTTTTTTTTTTTTTTTTTTTTTTTTTTTTTTTTTTTTTTGTGATGGAGGGACTCACACATCATTTGGTTCAGAGGGTGACAGCAAAATAAGTGGCAGTTGGAGAAGTGTATTAATTGATATTAATTAAGGAGGGGAATAAGAATTTTTTTTCACATTTCTCAAGATTTCCTAAGTTTTTCAGAACTTCTTCCAACAGCCCTGTTCTAAACTCAGCAAGCCTAAACATGGACTTCAGCTCTCAAGAAGTCAGAGATTGCTGGGAAGCTGCAGCTCTTACTTAATCTCGTTATGATTCTGCAAGAGGGTGGTGAAAACATTCCTAAGGCTGGAGTAGGTAGGAGTATGTGTTTACTAAAGACACACCAAGGATTGTAAAGGTGTGAGACCCTTCTTACAGGTATACCAGCACTCTAAGGGACGAAAGCAAAAAGCCTCCTTGCTCTTACAGTGTTGAAGGAGAAGGGGTGAGGGCAGAGCTAAGAGAACCCAGGTGTGCCTCAGTGGGTAGTAAAGGGCTAATGAAATCAGCATGATGATGTTCTGTGTCTGGCAGCTCACTCTCTGTGGCCTTTTAAGAACCGTGAGAGAGGAGAAGTTTGTTTTCTTATTTTCTCATTGTTTTGTTAATTTCTTCCTTCACAGAGTTAGTTGCCCAATGATGGAACCATTCTACAGCATATTTCCCAAGGTAGAAGAAATCATTCCTCTGGATTTTGAGCATTAGAAGAATGTGATTTTGCTCCAAAAAACAAAATAAAAGAGTTTACAGTAAATCAACTGCTATTTCTATCTCTATTCCTTACACTGTGTGCATCATGTGATAAGGTGTGGATACTTCCCAAGCAAACAATTTAGGTTTCTCAGCTCCAGATTGCCAAACTTTCCAATGCTGAGCAATCATGGCTATGACTCACATTACATTTGAACTCTCCAGACCCTATTTTACAAAATTTTCAGTAAGGATTTTTAACTCTAAATAAAGAAAAACAACAGAGGTGTCTCAGTACTTCTGCAAAGCTTTTATGCTTGTCAGAACTTACATTAAGAAAAGGTAATAACCAGCAATGGAAGGATTAAAGATGCTCCATAGAAAGCTCTGTGAATGGCAGCACTATGTAGAGCAGGCAACATTTACTGTTCCCATAAGTCCTAGACAAAGAATTACAGAGGATTTTTTTTTTTTTTTTTTAAGTGGACACATTTGTACATCAATCTTTCAGATACCTAAAGCTGCATGGTTCTTTTTTCCATATTACTGTACCTGAAATACACGTGAGATTTCTTTTGCCTGTGCTCTCTTAAGAACGTTTTCAAGTTCATTCTACAGCTCCCCCAACTACTGCCTCTTCATGTGAAAAACAGAAGTAGTGAGTTCATTCTCAAACACTTCTATTTTTCCTGCAAGGACTTAATGACTTGGAGGTAATTCATCATCTGCTCTGTTGGGAAACAGAAACAAAGACAAAACTAGCAACCTACACTCTAATTTTGAGATAATTACTCCTAAAAAAATAAAAGAGGAAAAATTGCAATGAAGTGCTTATTCTCTCGCTCACTGATATACAATAAGAACCACAAAAACAAATTGGCTGTAGCTGTGTATGCAAATAAACAAATAAAGATAAAAATAAAATTATTACTATTCCATTTCTTTCTCTATCTTAGAAATTAAAGAAAGTAACACTTATGTCACAGTCTCATTTTATCTATTTGCAGTCATCCTCTAGCTTTTTACATCAAAATTTCAACATTCAGTACATAAATATTTACCAGTAAGGCCAATGTTTTACCCTGAATTTATGTTATATACACTCATGATGGTCAGGTCATGATGTCCTGCACTTCAAGACCCTGTTCCAAAAGCTTCTCAATTATGAAAGTGAACTATATACATTGGGAAAAAGGCTTCTCTCAAAATACAGGTAAATTGTGTCCAGTGCTGATGGTACAGCAGCTGGTAGTGAGAAGTGGGAGAGATACACCTGCTCATTTACAAATCCCATCTGGTTTTAAAGATCCAGTCTAGGATATGATAAGACAAGCAGGAAGAACTGACATGGAATGACTGTCTTGTGCTTTCTCAGTACGAATTCTACTGTTTTGTTTTTTTCTCAGAAGTGTATCTTTCCATGTAAGCTTGCCAAGGGAGAAGGAGGCCTTCCATCTTTTCCTCCACAGTACCATCCTTCATGCAAGGGAGCCAAGAATCAGAAAAAAGGTCAACAGCATTTTTCGGACACTCAGCATTATCTAAAAAAAGAACTCAAAGGTCATCAATCCAGCATTAAGCCTGAAGAATAGAACCTGGATAATTTGTTTCCATTTAAAGCCTGGAGTGTTCTGGCACTGTGTTGATATTGCTTTAAAAATATTTATTCTTAGCTTCTAGCTAAGAATGAAATATGGATGACAACTATACAACAATTAAAAACACAGGTAAGAGAAATTAAGGAAGAAGAAGAACTGAGACTATTTTTACCACTAAATATTGCTCTGTTTTCTTATAGGAACAGTATTATACACTTAACAGCAGGCAGTGCTTTTAATGCAGTACATGGTGAAGTAGAACAGTCACTTTTCCTCTTTTTAGTCACTTAAGTTGTAAGAAACAACATCTTTTGTTTAAAAATCAAGTACTTTGGTTAATATCACAATTCCACTGGCAAACCTGAGGGGAATATTTGGAATGATTTCAACTCTAATGCTTTGGTCAGGTGCTTGCGCTCCCAGTGCTCAGCCTGACATATTTCCTTCCCAAAATCCCTGCGCATATGCAAGCAGTGCCACATCTTCCACTGCCACTCTCAAGTTTCTCCCTTTGCTCCTTCAGAGCTATGAGCATCCCTCCTATAACCACTTGGTGTTCCAAATCCTGTCTTAACTACAAGGCAAGTTGGAAGAACAAAAGGAAGCAGTCACTAGAGCACTTTGCCAATCTCTCCCACCCAGAACTTGGAATTTATTTGCTAGTAGAAATCCAAAGTTTTACAGGTGGGACTGTTTATGACACTGGATGGTCATATTTGTGATTCTGAAGTGATTAATGAACACTTTTTTTTTCTTTTTTTTTTTTTATGTTTGTAGTTGTAACAGAGTTAAAGCTAATTTCAGACTGAAAATGAGACACCCAGAGTGATTTCTATGTCAGAGAATGTCATCTTCTCAGTTGAATTGCCCATAGTGATTGAAGCTGATGGAACTTAGACTGCTGAAGCAATCTTTTCACCACATTGCTGTAATTCTGCTTTTTAGCAGTGCACGAGCTTGCTGACAGCAGTGCGTGGCCACCAGTGCTGCCCTTCAGAGGGGCTGAAATGCAGGTCGTGCTGTTAGCTTTTGGTTAGGCACTAACTGGGCTTTGCTCTGCAGAACAGCAGCTGTTTGTGCAAAGACTTTAAGAGCCAACCTTAAGCAGTGGTAAAAACTGATTGTGATCAGCACATGGGATCTCTCAGCCCTCTGAGCAAGCGTAGAGGCTCTAAAAAATCTGCAAGGCAACCAAAAGTTGTCTTCTTTGTGAGTGAAAGCAGCATCGCCTACCTGTGAGTAGTCATTATTTGGTCTATTCTGTCATGTAATTTGCGAAAGGCTGGGAACAGACACGTGTCAGGACCGACTCACTAGCGGTGATGGCGCTGACCAGATCTCCTCAGAGCTCGTGAGGTGTGCGGTCACCAATGGGATGCGCGGAGATGGCTTCCTAAAACCTGCCTCAGCTCTCCTTATTCAAGTTTGTTTTTGTTTTTGTTTTCCGTGAATGAAAAAAAGACAAGAATTTTGCAGGCTCCCCTTCAGCGGAGCTACGGTCTCTATGAAGGAGGCTCTGCCTCAATACGGCTCTCGCTCCACAGCTGCTGGCGGGACGCGGAGCTCCTCGTACCGTTGCCCTCCCGGGACGGAGAATTGGCGGTTCCTCACAGAGCCGCCGCTCTCACCGAGGTGCCTCAACCCGCGGGGCCGCGCTCACGGGACTGCTGCGGCCGCGGGGCGGAGTGGAAGCGGGCGGGGAAAAGTTTCTCCCGTGCTCGCCCCGTCCCTCCCTCTACACACACACATACACACACGCACCTCTGCCTCCGCAGGCGGATGAGGGGCACTTTTGAAAATTATTTTCTTTCCACACCCAGCCTTCGTCTGACATCACTTCTGCAGGAGGGCGGGAGCAGCCCCGCCGCCAGACGGTCGCGGAGAGCTCCGCCGGCCCCCGCGCACCGTGAGTACCGCGGCCGGTGGGGGTAGGGGGGGGGGCGCGGGGCTGTGCGGGGCGGGGGGGGAGGGGGGCGGCTGTGTCGGTGAGGGGATGGAGAAACCGAAAAAAAGACAGAAAGAAAGAAAGAAAAGAAGTAAATATTTATATGTATATCAAAAAGTTGAGGGGGGTTTTGTTTACTACCACCCGGGCCCGGCTGCCGCCGCTTGCAGTGCCGGCTGTGAGCAGCCGCCGCCCCGCTCCGCTCCTCGATTTGGGCGCGCGGCCCCAGCGGCGCTGGGGGAGCGGGCGGCCACGATGTCTCGAGCCGCCCCGCGCTGAGTTCGCCCTCTCCTCAGGGTCCTTTCTTCTTTCTTTCTTTTTTCCCCCTCGCTTTTATTTTTTCTTTTTTTCTTTGTTGATGTTATTTCAGTGGAGTTTGCGTGTACTACAGTAACTCTTGATTGTTTTTGGCAGCCGAACCCCCCCTAGTGGAAGAACTTTTATATATAACGCGGCGCAGACTTCGGTTTGTGAAGTTTCGGTTTTTTGCCAGGGTTAGGTTTTTGGGTTTTTTTTTTTCCACTTGAGTCAAACTATGGTTTCAAAAACCCGCTCCGACGTTCTCAGAGGGGCCGTTGGTGGCTGCCGAGCCCCGTGGCACCGGGAGGGCGGTGTTGGCAGCCTGGAGCTCGGTGCCGGCCCCGGGCAGGCGGCTTTCAGCAAGGCGGGTTGCTCTCATTACGCAGTTGTGGAGGTCAGCTCCTTGTTTGGACATCTTCAGGAAGAGCTCCCACTGACTCCTTGTCTCAGCTCGCTTCCCCGGCGCTGCTTACAGCCTGCTGCCACCGAGAAACCCGCAGCTCAGCCTCCTCGTTAAGCTCTTGGCACCTTAACTTGTTCACGTGGTGCTGGATTATTATTTTTTTGTATATATATTATTTTTTCCCCCGGGAATACTTCGTAAATGATGAATAATTGTTGCAGTTGAACATCTTAGAAGTATCTGACTTCATTATTGACTTGAGAATAGCTGTTCACTTAGGCACATTTTCACGGAGTTCTGTAGGAGCTTTGAAAAGAAACAGCTAGGGTTGGCTGGTCTCCATCAAAAAGAAAAATAAAACACTTTCTTTTCCTTTACTTTCAGACTCCATACATACAAGGTTGGTGCGTTAGCTATGTAACATAAGCCTTCTCTCCTGCCGAGCAGATACTTTTTCTGTCAAATGAAGTGCTAGGTTGTGATTCTTCTGTCTGCTCTCTTGCTTTGATTTTGAAGGCTTTGCTCCCCAGAAAACCCTGCTGGCAGTGGGATGGCAGGTGGCTGCAGGTGGGCAGGCAGCAGCAGTGCCTGCGTGTGATGGGTGCCTGGGCGTGGACTTTCTGAAGGCATTAAGCTGTGTTGCTGTCCTCTGCACTCGTTTGTGAACTTGTAAAATAGATCTGGAGAATGGGTACCTGGAAGAAGATTGATTCTTCATGCTGAATACAGTTGTGCATAGTTTGTATCGTGTCAACTGCATGGCTGACATGGATTTACCAAGTCAGCTGCATACCCTGCTAGGTTTATTCTGATGAAACTAGGAATTATTCTGCCAGCCGGGGAGTCACCAACATTAACTCAAAGTGAAATACAATTATATCATGAGATCTGTAGCAAGATGACCGGTTTCTTGTTAGCATACTTGTTTGGGAAGGAAAACAGTCTGTTGGTATAATTTAAAATAAAAACAACATAATACCAGTAGACAAGACACTGCTGGTGGTGTATTCTTTATTTGTGGTCTCTGGAAGGACTTCTGTTGTAAGCACCCGAACAGTGTTGATTATGCTGTGCATCTGCCAGGGAGGAAAGACACTGTATTCTATTTGCTTACACAGATTTAAAGCTCTTGCTAATAATGGAAATTGTTCAACAGACAGAGCCAGTCAAGGTTGGAGGCTCTCAGATGAGTTCTACTGCAATTCTCAGATGCTGTAGTTACTCCTTCTGGCAAACACAGCTTAAATGAAATCAACATCACCAGCTTCATCTATTACCCACTGCTGGTTAATGTTGCTTCATGACTTATTAGCATCTCTTGCTTCACAGTTGTTTTGTGTCTTTCTCTTCCATTTTCATGACTTTTCTTTTATGGTGTTATTTATCTCAGGGTTGTTTCCCATCTTGGGCTTGAAGTTCTTAGAATGATCAGAAGAATGTTGTACTGAGGAGTCCCATTCAGGTATTTAGAAGTGAAGGCCTTCCTCAGTTTTTGCTAATTATATCAGTCGTAGTTTGTCTCTTCTTACTGCTGTTTGCCAGTCCATTTAGAAATGAGGTGTTAGGCAGCACAAGGGGCTTCTTTTCACTTTAGTACTTTGTATATATTCTGATTTTCCAATAAGACTTCATGTTCTATTTCTGCCTTGAATGACACCACCCCATAAATCACAACAAGAATGCTTTCAGTTAAAGAGATAAGTAGGTCTCTGGGGACAAGACCACTTGTATTGCTAGCCAGCAGAAGATGCACTTTCCGGGTCCTGCTGCCATGTTCCTGTTGGAAGAAGACCTGGCAGAATAAGGCACTGTGTTATTCAAGAACTGATAAGAAAGAGATTTATCCTGCAGTGTACCAAACAGTTCATGTATAAAATTCACTCAATACTTGAAAGCAGACAAATGTGAAAGGAGAAAGGAACACACTTACTGAAATCACATTGGTTTCAGAGGGAAAATGGGGGGAGCATAAGCCACAGCGGTGAGGAATTCCATTTGTGGAGCTGTTCAGCATTTGTTAGGTTTTTTTTTTTTTTTTTTTTTTTTTGGATGCTCAAAACAAACTAATGATTGTTGTGATGTGGGCTCTGTATTCGCTATCCTTGTTGAAAGCATTGCTATTTTAGAGAGGAGATAATTTCGTAGAACGTATCTCAGTACATCAGGTAGTGTTCATGACTTCATCAGGAAGATAAGCATCTCAGTTTTCAGAAAATAGATCTTGCTGGGTGGGATTCAAGAGAAAGCCTGATGGCTTGAATTCATCCATCAAAGGAATTCTTGTTTCTTCACCAAATGGGGAAAATGTAATTACACCTTTTTATTTTGTCTATGAAGTTTCATGGGCAAGTTTAATGATGGTATGCGTATGCCAAATGAAGCCTCATAATTTGGGTGTGACCTCAAAATACAGCCCTCTGGCTGTGGAGAGATATTCAAAGGAGACTTTAGGTTGGGCAGAAAGTGGGCTGACTCAGGCACACCTTAGAGATGGCTATGGGACATACATTTATGGGTGACTTCTCCAATTCTTAAACATGACACGGTGTCTGGAATGACACAGAAAGTGTGAGTGTGTAATGGAGGTGCTAAGTGGCACATGAAATTCATGCCCTTCTTTCAGGCAGAAAGGGACCTTCCAAAGTACCCAGATATCCCTGTTGAGATGTGTGTGCTGCTGCTGAGCTCTTCAGTCAGTTTACAGACTCCCTTGGTCTCTAGGGCTGACAGTTCTCAATGCACGGGAGCAACAAATCAGCAGTGTAATTCAAACACAAAAACAAACCGTAGTCTGGAGACTGCAGGAAGAGCCTAAAGCAGGCCTAAAGAGAATGAACCTGCCCATTTTATCATGTGCTAGCATGCTCGATGGGGCCTTTACTTGGCAGGTCAGCCTGTGGTGAAGCAGGCCCTGTATAGGCAGCCAGTTTGGCCAAGGAGGGGCTGTGGGGCAGAACAAGGCTGATGCAGGCAGGAGCTGGCTGGGCTCGGTTGCCCAGAGTACAAAAAAGCAGCCGACTGGTGCATGAAACTCTACAGTGAAGAGGTGCTAGAAATGCTTCTACCTGAGCTGGGAAAGTTCATTTGGCAATCTTTAAGCTTTACTTTCAGTTGCGCTGGTTGCAAATTAGAATGTAAAAGCAGCCTTCAGAAAGTTGATTACTTGGTTGAGTATTAATACCAGTTAAATGCTACCATGTTGCTGTGAAACAAAATAGTAGTAATAGAGGAAGAATTTGCTCTTTTCATTTTGTAGCCAAGTGCTCTACAGTCAATAGGGATATATCTCCTGATAGATGATGTGCAAACTCTGAAATAACTAAAACTAAAAATTCTCAATACAGAGCAAGTCATCGCCAAATCAAAACAAGCAGTTTGAAAATTTTACAACAGTGAATATAACACATTTAATTGCTAGCAATTTCCATAGAGCATCTGCCAAAGTTAAAACAATATCAGCTTTCGTTTCTACTGAATTAAATGAATCGCTTTCAATCTGGAAAGACAGACTTTTTCTGCCTTTGTTTGTTGGTTAATTAGGTGGAACAACATAAATCACTCAAGCTGTTCTGTTGTATCTGGATTAATCTTTGGATAAGCAGGAGCCTGTAACCAGTGAAACCCAGGTTCTGAGATTTGCTTGCAGAGTTCTATTATTGTCTAGAATTAATGCTGCAGGTGCCTTTTGTTTTTTGTTCTTTTTGCTTTTTATTGGATCAGACCGATGACACATTTAAACTGTCGACCTGATGAGAAGGTCTCATGTTACACTTGGTTTATGCCTCCTTGCCCCGGCAGGTACTGAGTGGGGACAGCCTCGGTGCCAGAACATGGCCGTGTGGTGATGGAGTGCGGGTGAGGTCAGGCCACACCTTGGCTCAGTGATTTGCTTCAGGATTGGGTTCCCAGGCACGTCTTACAGCTGGCAAAGCTTTACTGGTGCTCCCGTGTCATTGCCTGGCTCCATGAGGTCACCCACTCACTGGGGCTGGAGGCGGGGATGTGCTGGTAGCCTGTGCTGAGCTTGGCTGCTCCAGACCAGTTCTGCTGAATGTGGGAAGGAGTGGGGGCCTGAGGGCACCTTCACGAGGCCAGACCTCACTGCTCTTTGAAGCTTGCTGCCCACCTGAGGAGTGAGTTCTGCCTTCAAGCGGGCTGCCTGTTATTGGTCCCATGATCACACTCTGTTATTACTCCAGTGTACAGTCCAACAGTCGGCTTTGTTCCCAGCAGTACCTGAAGTTCTTGAAAACTATGA